CTGCTGGGTTAGACCAGGGATGTTGATGGTGGCCTGCTGGTAGAGGCCAGGCTGATAGTTCAGCAGTGGGACATTACTACTGAGAGACAGGGACTGGCCTCCTGTAGAGGTCATCTGGAAGACACGACAAAAATTTTTTTAAAATTAATACCTAAAAAGATGAATTGAGATTTTTACATTTTTGTATGAGAGTTGCATTTACAAGCATACAATGTCAAAGTCTTCAAGTGCCTAAAGCCAGGCTATGAATCAGAAATGGAAAAGTTTCTTTGGTGCATTCCTACATCTAGTACTTGTAAATAAGTTGTTTTTAAATGTCTCGCCGTTTGAAATGAAAGAGTCTGTACATAGAAGTGTACAAGCTAATAAATTAGCATTGTTCTACAAAATAACCAATTACATCTTCAACAGAAATTATGAATATAATCTTAAGATCAAACTGTTCCTGAGGCAGTTTAGAGAGGATCTTCTCACTTGATTGTGCTGATTAAGTTGGCTACTGAATGTGACGGTGAGGTTTGTTGCTGCACTCGGGGTGTTGTTGCTTGCAAACATATTTTTTCCGTTCTCAAAGGCGCTGCATCGGCGTTTACATATATCCATATTTTGGAAGCAGGACTTCACGCTGTGGAATAAAAGAAAATACATATAAATATATACATTTAAATCAGACAGAAGCTAAACAACAGTCATCACAATCTGTAGCTTCATTTCTTTATCCACGCAGGTCTTACTGTGAGCTGTGCGGGAAGTGCAGCAGGTGGGTCATGGTAACAAATGGGTGGTTCAGCGTCTTCATAGGTGTGATCCTTTTGTCAGCGTCGAGTGTCAGCATCTTCTTCAGCAGGTCTATAAACTCCCGTCTGTCAGCCTTCTCTGCCAGGATGTCTGTGCCCTCCAGGTTTGTCATGTTCACCTGCATGAAGTCACGGCCCATGTGACATGTTCACAGCACAAAAAAGTACCTCCTTTCAACTTTTACTAATTATTTTGTCCCTGGCCTACATGGAAAACATGAGCCTGGTTCTTTACACCATGCTCCTTTAATATGCATAGCAGAACCTCTAGTAAGAAATACCAGATTATTCCCAAGGTTGTTATTTAAGTAAAAGGGAAAATATAATGCTTGTCACATTGTTGCTCATCCTGTGCATCATTTTGTTTCCCTGCTTAAATGATTCAGTGTAGCTCCTGCCTTTCCTAAGCTTTTGCTGACTGAAAACAAATTAATTGATCATATTACAGGTATCAACACAACAACAGCTATAACAGCAGGTTATGACGTGAAATGGTGTTAATGTTTGTTGGATTGTGTACTGCTATGAACTGTGTGACAGGAAGGTCCAGTGTATCCTCTGCTAAACAAGGTAATCCAAAGAAGCATTAAAGCAAGCAAAACTCAATCAGGAGAAGAAAAAGTACACGTCACAGGGGCAACTTGAACTCCTGACCACTCGCTCTGAGATCTATTTCTTATCCTATTACACATTAACACACTTAGATCACAGTTACCAAATTAGCTAAAGTCAAATGTCGGTCTATTTAACAAAACTACAACAAAAAACATACATATGCATTTCATTTCTTTGTTGCAATGATGCAGTTGCTGCAGTTTTTTGCTTTGTTGATACGGTCTGACTGGGGCTTTAGCTGGAAACACTGTTGTTGTCTAAAATCTAGGGTATAGTTTTTGCCATCATGCCATTTTGGCTGCTGTTTGGGCCATGTTTGTGAGGGTCCTACTTTGCCCCAAAGAGGGAGCAACACTTAAAATATCTGCTTACAGCAGCTGTCTCTTAGACAGGATAACTCCTCACCTGCATCATGTCATCCAGACAGTTGAAGATGTATTTTCTTGCCTCCTTCGACTTGATGCCCATCTCTGCCTCGTGCTCTGCAGGTGTCTGCAGAAAAAGGAACCACAGCAACACTTCAGTACATGAAGTGTTTTTTCTCGTTTGGGGACTCATATCTGTGTCACCTACTTTGAGCCTCCACAGCGGGTAGCTCGAGTCAGGGCCTCGGTTGAAAAAGCGGCTGGTCTTGGTTCCTGCACTAAGGAGGTACTCTGCTGGAAGACCCTGGGTCTGAGAAATGTAGCGAATCTGAGAGAAAACAATGAAAAATAAGTATAAAATAGTGGTTAAATGATGGTTAAAATTAAAGGCACTGCCTCTTTGGTTGACAGCTGTCCCAAGACAGGCAGCTGTGTCTGATTTTTATGTAAATGTCAGTGTGTATAAGGGTGCTGCAGATGACCTGGTCATACTCTGAGGCACCGGGATAAAGGGGCCATCCCAAGAACAGCTCAGCAATGACACATCCCAAAGACCACATATCGATGGCTTCACAGAAAGGAAGGCCCAGGATAATCTCTGGAGCTCTGTAGGCCCATCAAAGCCAATAAATGTGAAGATCACAGCAAGTAATTCACAAGATATTTCATAGCTCTAGGCAAAAATGCTCACCTGTAATATCGAGACTGCAGGTAAGTTGAGCATACAGCTTTGGAAACATGGCTCGCCGAGCCGAAATCAATGACCTTCACCCTGTATGGCTGCCTCAGAGGGTCTACCAGCATGATGTTTTCAGGCTTCAGGTCGGCATGGATCAGCCCCAGGCTCTTCAGCTTCATTAGCGCGGTGGCGACCTGCTGCAGGATTGGCCGGATGCACTTGAGCATCAGAGGGCTGAACTTGCTGTGCTTCAGAAAGTCGTAAAGGTTCTGCTCCAGCATCTCAAACACAAGGCACGTGTGATTCTTGTGCTGGAAACACTCGTACGAGCGGACAAAGTTGAACTCATCGGCATTTTCCGTGCTCAGCCTGCTGAGGATACTCACCTGCAAGTAGGAGGAAGATGATATTATGTGGTAATAAACAGAAAAATGAATGCGAAAGTAACATCTTCCTTAACAGGCCAAAACATGAAGGTTCACAGAATTTATCTTCGGTACCATCCAGTACTCAAAATCACATATCAGCCCTATGGCAGAAACAACACAGAGGATCAGAGAAGTCAGTAGGATTCATCCTCCAATTAAAAAATATAAAACAAAACCTGTACAAAATTCTGCGGCAATCAAATAGATTAGATATTTCAGTCAGCGGCCAAAGTTCAGGTTATTGTATCTGTTCCCGTAGCTGGATGTTGGCTGATCTCAACCATAACTGCCAACCATGCAGCCAGACCACTAACACTGCTTACAATATAAAGCAAATAAAAGAAACCTGCTTTTGGCTGCTCCCATTTGCACAAGGGATCACCACAGCAGGTAGCCATGCTCATTTGATTTGGCAGATTTTCATGCCGGATGCTCTTCATATTGTGTTATATTGTGAGCACAAGCGTCTCTATGGAGGTCTACGTGCCTGACAACTGCACAGGAAATATGACAGCTGTCCATGTCTACAATCTAGTATAATCCCTGCCATATATCAGTGCTTCAATTTGCTGTAGTCTAGTCCTGAGGTAACTATTGATGTCTTATTAAAAACAAGGTGGAGACTGACATGGTCAAACAAGCTGAAAACAGGCCAAAAGCACAAGTAGGATTGCATTTATGATGTCCCATACATGCACCGCCATTCCCAATTTTCATATTATATGAAATTATATGCTAATAAAGGCTCCTTTCATCAATTTTAACAATATGTACTCACCTCAATTTGCCCTTGCCGAGCATAAGAGGGATGATTCTTCAAGATTTTAATGGCCACTATCTCATTTGTGCCCCGCTTCCAGCATTTAGCCACCTGACCGAAGGTGCCGCGTCCCAGAAACTCGAGCACCTCGTAACTGTTGGACATGGAGCACAGGATCTCGTGCTGCACCAGCTGATAGTCGCCCTCGCTGTGGGAGTTGCTGCTCTTGGTGGTGGAGGTGGAGTGTGCTATGGACTGAGCAGTGGTGGTTCCCCCGCCACCGCCACCATTGCGGTTTGAGACCACGGGGGCGGAGAGCTCCTCCAGTATCTGCACGCTGTCGCTGCTGTCCACCTCCTCACTCTTCCTCTTCAGGCTGTACTGCTTGTGGTAGAGGTCGGACGGCTGGGAGGAGGACTCTGCATCCTTGATTCGCCGGCTGGAGGAGGAAGATGAAGAGGAGGATGAAGGAGGCCCGCAAAGGCTGCCCGTGCTGTCTGCCGCCCGCACCACCGTCTGCTCCCTTGAGCCGGCCGTTGGCGGGTGGACCTGGTTGGAAGTGTACACTTGGTTAAAGTTGGAGCCAGAGGTTGAGGGTGCAGCTCCCTGGGTAGGGCTCTGCTGGTAGTAACCATTGTCTCCCAGCTGGCTTGATGCATCCCAGGAGGGGTTCTCCACTTTAAGTCTCTTTGAGCGAGAGTAGGCACTGGAGGACACAGAGGGGGAGGAGAACACCTGGAGCTGCGACGCCATGTCTGTGGAGGAGCAGGAAGTGGGTTAGTTTTGTTTTAGAGCCTCTATTTATATTTGTGTGTGTGTTCTTGTATGTTACTCATTTATTTATGTTTAATTATGTGTAAACAGACAGAAGCAGTTAACTGTTTTTATCCTCAAGTTTGGAGCTGCAATAACCAATCAATTAAAGAATTATCTGATTAGTGCCAAACATCAAAGGTGATCAGTGGTACTATTTACGCTTGACTTTTGACCTACTTTACATCCCATTTCCTTTATATTTTCCTCTTCTGGAGTACTTGGCAGCAAAAATCATCCTGCAGGAGTAGACTTCACCTAAGCAGGAAAATGATTCTCATAAAGTCTACCTAAAATCAGGTCTTTTAAACCCCGTGACTTTTTTTCCCCCCCAATTTGTTTTCTATTAATTTCAACAAGTCATTGGGATGTTATTTATGATTAAAGTGGACGTATCAAACTAATTTCCGGCTCTGTATTTTTATTCTTGGATTGTAGCAGGGTAGCTATCCCTAATTCCTTAAGTCTGAAACAAGCCGATTTGATTCCCGTAAAGCAAATTTCTTCTGATTAGTGACCCCTCCCATAAAAGCAGGTGGGTGGAGCTTCCGGGCACACAACTAGAACTGTACTCTACAGATGAGCACACGTCACACAGAGCCAAGAGCAGGAAAAAAACTGTCATGGTGAGCGTTTACAGCAGAGTAGAGATTTTGACTCACAGGAATTACTGGTACTTTTTTGAAATTCAAATAATCCGATTAGACATGAGTTTCATCAGTTAAAGTTAATTGTGAGTGACATGTTGTTGGTAACTGTTAGATATTGGGGGTGGACATTTAAATCTCCAGAACTGAAACCCGTATTTGATTGGTTTAATGAAATAAAAGGACAAAAATGATCACATTTTCACAAGAGACCTGGACTGAGCTATATACTGTTTATTATTCAGATTTGTGATATTGCATTTATTAGCACAGAAAAGTGTGATTCCAGTGTTTTGACCCAATAGAAACTATCAAGCTGGGGCTACATCTAAAACCACTTGACTTAGACATCATTAACATGTGTTTCCGCTAACTGGCAGTAACTAACCCCAGCAGCATTTTCCCAAACCTGACTGACAGTACCTGTATTTGCTGACTCTGCACACCGTTGCCTGTGTGATATTAAGGCCTCGTCATCTTCTCACCGAGCAGCTCCGTGTGGTGCAGCAGCGGGTCGGCGGAGCTGCTCGCTGCCTGCTCGGAGCTGGAAGGATGAGAGCTAACCGAGCTAACAGCCAGCTAGCTTTTTCACGAATATCTGAGTCATACCTGACTCCGATCCGCTGTTTCACATCGCGCGACAAACCCGCATTACGCTTGTCGTTTCTCTCGAAATGTCAGATAACATCCCGATGAGCACCGTCTCCGGGACACAGCTCCATCATCACAGTCTGCTCGCTCCACTTCCTGTCCTGCCGACGTAACCGGCGGCGAGATGTGACGGACGTCAACGGCCACGTGCGTCTCCTGCAGTCAAAGATCGTGTATCTCCCAAGTGTATCTCTCTGCCTTATTTTCCTATCTTTATTAGACCGATCTGGTTCTCTTATAATTAACCCTGTGACTATATATGTATAACTACATTCGTGACATTTTCCCTGTAGTTTCTCTCTGAGTAGCACTGGTTGAACTGTCTGTCCTGGGACAACATGTCTATGTGGTGGAGCAGTCCAAGTACTTGACTGAAGACTAGTACAGAGGCTGTATACAAGAAGGAGATGAGCAGGCTCTGTTTACTAAGGAAGCCGAGATGCGTAATGTGTGCTGCAAAATGATTGAGAGTTTCTATCAGTCAGCTGTGGGGAGCAGAGTGTAGTTTTCTGTAGTTAGTTTGACTCTGTGATTGGCAGCAAATTGTGCATTTTTGAAGCTGTGATAGAGAGGTGGACACTGAACAAACTGTTGTCCATAGTCCGTAGTCCTGACCACCCTCTGTGCCACTTGTACCTTCTTCAGTACTGGTGGAGCCTCAAGGACCTTCTAAAAGGTGGTAGCACTAGGTTGTTAATGTTGTTATTAACAGTTATTTATATTGTATTATTATTATTATTATTATTATGACATGGAAACTAGTGAAAAATCATCAGATTAAGTGACTAATATACAGTATAAGTTTATAATTCTGTATGGAGGACCTGAGAAGCAACGTTCATGGCTGAAAAATTAGTCCTCCCGTGGTCGGCTGAGGCTGGCTCCAAAAGGAGTTAAATCCCCAAGTTCACAATATTAAGAAAACCGTCAGTATACACTGGATCATGATAAAGATTATTATTATTGTTATCATTATTATATTGATGTGATTTACATTTAAATGTAAGGGTGTGGCTGCTTTCATTGACAGCTTCAGCCAACAGCTGCCAGAGAGGCCTCACCTCAGCTGAAGTCACTTAACTTGACCCCTTGACTGTCCACATGTCTCTTTTGGTGAGTGAAATTGTAGAAGTTTATATCTGTCAGATGCACTCAATACAGTTTGAAAATGCAGACGGCTAACTTTGCACTGCACTTTTTTTGTCTAAATATGGTCACTTCTGGTTCTAAAAGGAACAAACCCCACCTCCAAATGCAATGTCCAAAATCTGATAGATGATGCCACAGTGGCTACGCCCATCTTTTTTTAAACAGTTGATGGACAGTTACCATAGAAATAAAGCATTAAATTATGATTTTATTATTTTATCTTCTTAGACAGCATTTTTAAAACATTCCATTCGTTATTTATATATTTAAAAATGTACTTTTTTAACCCATGGAAATTTAATATTGTTTTTGTACACCTTTTAAAATTAAACAATTTAGAGATAGATTATCTTTCACCCATCTATCCATTAATTTCATTACTTACAAATATATTAAACAGAAAAATAATGTGTAATCAATTCATTTATAGAAACTGAATTACTGAATTCTATAGATAGACAGATATACATCTTTATATAGAGAGAAAGATGGAGTTGGATATAGAGGTGTGTGTGTGTGTGTGAGTGAGTGAGTGTGAGAGAGAGAGAGAGAGAGAGAGAGAGAGAGATCACATTTTGACCACTGGTACCTTATTATTTATTTATATTTTTTAAATTTAGACTTTTGTTCTCCTAATTAAAACTTGTGATAATGCTATTCTAGCTAAATATTCCATGGAAAGGTGGCTGTAAACACCATATTGACAAATAAACACAAATAAAGACTTATTGGGAAATTAGAAATTATTAGCAGACATATTGAATTTATAAACTGTGTAACTACAGTCAACTGAAATTGGGCTTCACTGTATATAGATTATTCCCTAATTAAAAAGATCAATTTGTCACACATTTCAACACAAGGAGGCGCTGTTGTCTCAGCGACAAGGAAAAACGGAGTGAGTCGAACAGACGATGTTTATTTCCATCCATCTCTCATCTTGCCTTTTCAGATATATTAGCATTTTTATGTCTGTCTCTACAGCTTGTTTACAGCATCAGAAGCACTGCGTTTTATAGTGGTACACCACAGTAGACAAAAATACATCACCAAGACTACACCAGCATAGTCGATGCAAAAACAAAGGAAAAAGAGAACATGTTTCAGATCAAAACTGCTTATCAAGATGATAATAACTAATGATATTAAATTTCTTATCCTTGAAATATAATAGGAGTACATGCATGCAGTACATATACAATCAAACATACTGGAAAGTATTGATGTAATGAATCAGCAAAGAAATGATGGTTCATACAAAACAAGTGCTCAACTAACAATGTATTTATACACATATATATTTGAGAGGAAAAGACCAGCAGATCCTCATAGAACAAAACCCTATCAAAATAAAAGTTGTAACTGAACTAAAATGCATTAATTTCTTCACTTTAATGAACTTTAAATGTGACTTTTATTTATTTATGCATTTTTTGTAGCTTTCTCTGTGGAATAAAACTGACTGTATAGTATACTGTGATGGCTGAATTTATTCAGCAGCATCAGGCTCCTTCTCAGGGTCACCTCTCATTGAAATCCAGCTGTGGTGAATGTTTGGAAAGCTGCATTTTTCAAGTATTTTCTCCCTCTCTCGACTCTTGAAGGACTACCTGAAGGAGTGTCGGAAGTGCAAACTCCTTCTTTTCAGCTTTTCTGGGTTGTGGGAAGCCATGTGCGAAAATTCTCGGAAGATGTCAAGGTACGTGGCGTCTCCTGATGAACAAAAAGAGAAAACACAACAGGAAATGACGATGAAAACCACAGCCCGAGACCCAAAGCTCTTTGAAGAGTCAAAACATCTTTCTAAATGAAAGTTAGGAAGGAAACAACAGAGGAGCCTTCTGAATGAAGGGCCGAGGCACCATGAAGCTTCCCCTCTTTCAACTTTCCAAATACTGAGCCTCTACTTTTCCTGTTGTCATGGTGACCGCTGAGCCCACCACCGCTACTACCACAACAAAAGCAACTCAAGTCTTTTGTGTCCGTGAGAGCTGCCAGGCTCAGAAAATTAAAAAGGGGATGAAAATTCCTGGTTTTCCCAGCTTGTTTCTGAGTGAGTCAGAGAGTTCAAGGCTCCTGGTATATATGGAGGTTTCCTTTCCTCTATAGACATTCCTTATTGAGCTGGTTTTCCTATCTGTGTTTGGCCTTTGCTCTCAGAATATTTTACAAATGTTTGTTCCCACAGTCTTAAGAGAATTGAGGCAGTAGAAAGGATTTTGTTGCCTCTTTTTCTTTTCCTCGAATAATGAACAGAAGGATTTTTTAGTAGTACCACTTTATTAGGTACAGCTGTTAAGTTGCTTGTTCATGCAACTATCTATTCAGCCAATCACCTGGCAGCAACTCGGTGCATTTAGGCATCTAAAACCGGTCAAGATGACTTGCTGAACTTCAAACTGAGCATCACAATGAGGAAGAAAGATAATTTAAGACAGCGGTCCCCAACCTTTTTTGCGCTACGGACCGGTTTATGTCCAAAAATATTTCACGGACCGGCCTTTAAGGTGTCGCAAATTAGTACAACAAAATAAAACCAGTACCGGTACCAAAACAAAGAAGTTTTATTCATAACACACGGGAAAAGACCCAGGGAAACAGAGTTAATGATAAAAACAATAAAAACCCTGAAAACCATATATTTCACACCCAAGCCCCAACTGTCGCGGCCCGGTACCAAACGACTCACGAACCAGTACCAGGACGGGATTTGGGGACCGCTGATTTAAGAGACTTTGAATGTGGCATGGTCTTAGTATTTCTTTGCTGACCTGTTGGGACTTTCCCAAACAGTTAGGCTATTTCTAGAGTTTACAGAGAATGGTCATAAAAAGAGAAAATATCGAGTTATCCATACTATTTGATTATTTTGCCTGCTGAATTAATACGTTTGCTCACTTACAAAGAAATAAACAGTCTCTCATTTTTATGGTCGTCTCATATTACTGAAGAGAAATTGAATATCAACCAAAAATCCACGAAATAAAAACCCCCCCCCCCCCCCCCCCCCAAAAAACCCCCAGCAACAAAGAGATCTTAAAAGCATGAATAAGAAACTGATTCTGTGGACTTAATGTCGCGACTTAATGAGTTGAGATCAGGAGTATCTGTTATTGATCGACTGTCTAATCAAATACTTAAATTATTCAATGATACACAATTCAGTTTATAACTTTTATATAATGTGTTGTTATTTTTATCTATCATACTGTTTAATGCACTAAACAGCCCACCCCCCACACCCAACACACACACACACACACACACACACACACACACACACACACACACACACACACACACGCCACTTCAAATATTAAATATATTAGTTATTTGCTATTTGCTTCATAGTTCTGCTTTGTGGTAAAGTTAGTAAAGCAAGTGAAAAGAAGAAATAAAGCACAGAAGAAAGAGAGAAGTTAGTGATTAGTCAGACCTTTTGTTTATTTTTTAGTATCATATTAGAAGACACAAAGAGGAAAACATAGGTAGAAGTTAGTGTTAACACACACAAGTACTGTAAATTCTGAGATGCACGTTTTTTTTTTGTTTTTCTTTTTACAATATTACAATATTCAAAGAAATTGTACAGAAAACAGTCAAGAGACAGGAAAAAAGAAGTACAGGAAAGTTAGAAATGGCCTGTTAGAAGTTAAAGTGTTAATAGTTTTTGCGTTTATATACACAACAGTCACTGTAGACACACTGAGCTGTACAACACCTAATCCTTCAATGGCTTAATGCTTTGTCGACGACATCATTCATCTTGTAAAAACTGAGACCTTTTGGAGAGTGTTTTGGTGGTGTTGACACCACATACTGCACAAAAAAGGAAAGGCTGAGAGACGGCATGTTTTCAAAGTGCGGAAATGAGCGAGCTACCCTTCCTGTCAATGTCATATCGTTTAAACAGTTTTACCTGGCAAATAAAAGAATGGGACTGTACAAAAATTATTAGGAAGGTTTGTGGAGTCAGAAAATAGTTGGCGGCAAAATAGTTTCTCCAACTAAATTTACTCAAAGGGGCTAAACCAGTAGCTGTAAGCATTGGCATATTACACTGTCTAAGCTTATCATAAGACTTTTTCTTTAGTGTCAATTACAAAATAACACCATTAGGCAGTAATGATGCTGAAATTCTTTCCAGTGGATAGCGTTTATATAAACTAATCTGGAAATCACAAACATCTCTACTATAATCATCTTTAGACAGTCCCAGATTGTTAAGATTCTCCATATAAAACTAAAATTGGTAAAAACATTTCTGCTCTCTAAAAGCTCTGCAAGCTTTCTTTGGTTTGAGCTAAACCCCAACAGTCTGAAGGGAGTCTGTCAGTATTTTTATGTAGGCTTTGGATAACACACTGTCGCTAACTGCAAGCTAGCAAGCGGATCAAACAAAAAGTGTTGAGCTGCCAGGTTCACTGTTCTTGTCACCCAGCCAACAGATGATTGCAGGAGAGGGTGTTCAGTCTGTTTGCATTAACTGATTTCTGCCATGGATGTCACCTCATGCACTGTTGTCGTGATTTGGTATTATATAATATGGATATTAACATTTTCCAACAATATTCAATGTTACATATTCACGTATACTGGGTACAGAACTTTAAAAATAAGCAACTGGGCTTCAGTGGACCTGGGCATCAGCCACCCATGCAATATAAACTAACAAACAATATAAGCCTAGGCGTGACACATCTGATTACCATAAACAAACATTTTAACATACAAATACTGTATATATAGTAACATAGTAGTTTAGAGTGACTTATCAAAAACCTTCCAGTGTAGTTTCTCCTAAAGAATAACTCCACCAACGAGTGATTTTTATATCATATTGGGAACATTAATATCGTTCTGTGTGGTTGTGGTGTTAATCCCCCCCCACCCAAAAAAAAAAAAATCTATATCCAGCTTAAAAAAATACCATCTGCCTTGCTGTTAAGCATAATACAAAAAAA